GTGGCTATTTCAGGTGTCTCAGTTACCCTAAATAACAGTGACCTGTTCATTAGGTTAAGCTAGCAAAGGAAAACAAGATGCTGAGCAGTTTCGACGTGAGCCCATTCACAATTTATTGTAAGTTAAATTTTGACATTTTTATGTATCTCATATTTTCTGAACATGGTTTATCCTGAACCTATGTGCCCAACAAACCTAAGCACGACTTAATGTGTGGTAATCTAATGTTATCCCTTTAAGCTTTAACCAAAAAAAAAAATAAAAAATAAAAAAATTGTGCAGTTTTTAGACCTTGCCAAGGAAAGAAGACCCCAATGAGACCCAAATGAGTGAGTGACCAAGTAATGACCTTATCCTAACTTAGAAACCAATAAACTGCAATTTGGTTCTACAAACCATGTTATATATATTGTTATTGCCCTTCAATATCAACAATAATTGACCAAACTAGTAGTTTTACAGCAATAAGGAAATCCACAGACAACATTCTGGAACTTCCAAAACATAGCATGCGAGGCAATTCTGGATATACAGGTCTAATGTCTCACAAATATTTATTTCATTCAAAGAATCCAAACTTGGTTCTTCGAACCTTAATATTCAAGTATTTGAACACATAATTGCCATTGTAACATGATAGGAGGAGGGTTAGAGGGAGGGGATTGTAGGGAAAAGGAGAAAAATAGTACACAATTCAATCACATACCACTAGAATAGAGCAAAGTTATTACAAAATTCAATCATGTATGACATACCACAAAATCAGAACAAAGGTATAGAAGAGCAGTGAAGAAGGAAAAGATACTGACCTGCAGGTGACCTTGAAGGGTGCCACTACCAAAGCTGAAGGAGGCTTTCATTTTCCCAGAATGCTTGTTTTCATTCACATACACCACCTGAAGAGGCATCATCAACCATGGAAGGAACTCCTTGACACAAACACAAAATTTTACCCCACTTTTGATCGGAGTTGTTGGTTCAACGAATGTCCAGTTCATTTGGAAATGCCTGTATATACATGACGATCAGGGAAATTAATCAGTGAAAATAAGGTTCTTATATTCACACTATCTAAATCTTGAGAACAAAACTACCTCCAATTCTGAAGTGCATTCTTTCCTTTCTCATATGTCTCTTGACCAGAACCAATTAGAACGCGAGCATGATTTAATAAAAAAACCTCTTCTGATAACTGATCATCTTTCTGCAGTGAAATATTGACCTATCAGTAGCTCCTATGCGTTTAAGATCATAATTGAAGGAATCAGTCCTGCAAATAACATAAAAGAAACAAAAAGAAATCACGTTGAGAAACAGACAAAAGTTAACAAAGGCATAAAACAGAAATTAAAACCTTGATTTACTTTTCCAAGCAAGCCTTTTGATCTTTCAATGACGGACGATTCCAACATAGGAGAACCATTCTTTCCTGTCAAAAGCATTGATGTTTCTTAGATTTAACAGCTCAAACTATGATGCAAAGTAAAAAACTTGTTCACAAAGAATAAGATGAATGACTGAATGTATAAACACGAAAGTAAAAAAAAAAAAAAAAATCACCCCATTTGTCATTTAAAATAACCCAAATAATTAATAAAAATCACCCATCTCTTCATTCTCTTGAATGCAAATTTTCCATATTTACTGTAAAAAAAATATATGTGCATTCATCAACTAAAAACTAATTCCTCCGTTTCTTAATACATTCAACATCATATTCATTGGATTTGAGAATATTTCATAAAACGGGCAACTTTGTTAAAAGTTATGAAATTTCATCTCTCTCCACTCAATTGGAGTTTACATGTATAGAGAAATAATTCGAATTTTCTAAAAACAGCAGTTCAAAACCCAATTCTCATTTGTACAATATATCAAACAGTTGGTGTGCAATGCTCATCATTTGACAATACAACAACAACCACAAATAAAGGGGAAAAAATGCAATCTTTATGCAAATCAACAACCAAATTACCCTAGTTACCAATAAATTGAACAATTTTTCATAATTAAACAATAAAAAATGCTATAATGTTGAGAATTGATGCAAATTTTAGAGTACAGTTGAGAAGATATATGCAATACAATTCAAACCAAAGATAATTGAAGAAATTTAGAAAAAGAATTTTACCTAATTAAAGTGACAACACTGATGAGTGTTCTGTGGAAGTAGTGATAATTTAGAGGAAAGAAGTCGATTGATTTTTCCAGGGCCGTCTTATATAAATTAGGGGCCTGTGCTACTTTTATTATAATGTTAGTTTAACTTATCGGTAATAATGAAAAGAAAATGATATAAACATTTAAGTTTTTTTTATATAGAAATTATGGTATACAATCATATACCATGTAACTCTGTAAGTGATATATATGTAAAATGTAGATAATATTATATGTTTATATTGTAATGAAAAAAAACCATCTAGTTAATAAAAAAATAAAAAAAATAAAAATCGAGTAAATTATGTGAAAATGACAAAAAATATATCATATATGGTAAAAAATTTTAGGAAAATTTGTTAAAAAAAAAAAACCTTTTAAAAGCTTTTGGTTAAAAAAAAAAACCACGTCCATTTTTTATTGCGAGAGGAAACCCATATCCTTAATTACCCTCTAATTAACTTAATTAGACTCTAATTTCTTCCTATTTTTTCTAATTAACCTCTAACCCACCCAATTACTTAATAATTAGATTTAATTTATACGTAAAAAAAACAACCACCCCAACCACCGACCAACCACCCCTTCCCCTTCGTCCTCCCCTTTTCCCCCTCCCTTGGAAGCAACCCCCTCACCCACCGGACTCGCCACCCAGATCCACCTACCTTCGGCAACCTACCTCCACCTCTGGATGACCCTCCCTTTCCCCCTTATCCCCGTTGGCGACCGCCACCTCCCTTCGAATTTTTGGCTCCTAGTTACTCAAACTTGCTCAAATCAAGCCCAAATCAATTGCAATTTGCTTCTAAATCACCCTAGCATCACATATATACATAATCAAAGTCAAAACAAGCATCAATTGCAAGCAAGATGCACAAAATTAAAAACCCCCAAATCAATTTTTCAGGGTTTTTCAAAATCAAGGAGGTGGTTGTCGGGCGGTGATTAGGGGGAAAGGGAAGGTCATCTGGCGATGGAAAAGGTTGTCAGAGGTGGATGGGCTCTGGATAGCAGGTCCAGTGGGGGAGAGGGTTGATGCCATGGGAAGAGGAAGGGGAGGGATGGTGGTTTTTTATATATATATATTAATTAAATCTAATAATTGAGTAATTGGGTGGGTTAGAGGTTAGTTAGAAGAAATGAGAAGAAATTAGAGTTTAATTAAGTTAATTAGAGGGTAATTAGGGAAATAAGTTTCCTCTCGCAAAAAAAAAAATGAATGTGGTGGTTTTTTGTAACCAAAAAGCTTTTAAAAGGGTTTTTTTCGTAAAATGGTGCTTTTAAAAGGTTTTTTTTTTGACAAATTTTTCCTATTTTTTATATTTCATTAAATAATAACAGTAAAAAAGTACGGTAGAATATTTTAACCAAACCTAAGTCAAAAAGGGGGAAAAATGAGAAGAACGCATTTAAAAAAAAAAAAAAATTAAAAAAGACAAAATAAAATAAAATAAATGTATTCCTTGAGATTCGATTCTCAAACTCTGTGTAAACTCATTAACCATGTCTATCTATTCTACCACTAAGCCATCAAGGTAATCTAATTATATTAACTACAAATTTAAGTATTATACTTGTATTTAAATTTGGGGCCCTTGAAATAAAGTTGGGCCACTGGGGCCCTGTGCTTGGACCAGCTTGCACAGGGCCTTAGCCGGCCTTGGATTTTTCTTTCAAGTCCAACAAAATGCACGAGCACATTAACTAAGACATTAAGGAACCGTACATTTATCCGAAACAAAATTTGATCCAATTTGTTACTCCGTGTTAAAAAGACGATTAATTTAAAAGTAATTTAGGTAACTTTGATTTGTACTCCATGCTAAGTTTGACTGAATTTCGATGTGTGTTTTTAAATGTATGTTTAGGGGTTATTTTAATCCTTAAAAGATTTAAATTGAGTTCGGATTTTGCAAAAAAAGAACATAGAAACCCCATTTTGTGAATTCAGATTTCTGTAGTTAAATTTAGAATTCACAAAACGGGGCTTTTACGTTTCTTTTGTCAAATCCGAGCTCAATTTGGTCCCTTAAGAACCAAAATGACCCCTAAAACCTTTAACGGGATATTTTTTCAACACGCAAATCGAGAAAAAATATTAAAAAGTGCAAAGTGGGTCCCACTAACGATGACCATTACAGTAGGATAATGACAAGGTCACTGTTGAGACATAATTGTAAGTTGAAGCTTACAATGTGTAATTTTCAAAAGGAGGGGACACGGCTTGGAAAAGTCAATACTTGGGATTATGGTGTAGAATTTCCCAAAAAAATTAATAAATGGAGTGACCTCTATAATAAATGATAGAGTAACCAATATGCTTATATATTAACGTCATATTATACTTATTGAATAACCCTTATACAACAAAGTAATTCCTACGTCGCTGACAAAGTAACCTCTTATTACTACTAAGTAATCCTTATACTAAGTAATCTTATAACCCTCCTTAACACTAACCGAGTAATCTGTGGTGGTTGGCCACATCGAATAGATAATATAATTTCAGATAAAATAATTTTAGATACAATCAGATGAACAAAACGAAACTTTAATTCCTTTGTGTATATTGTTTAACTATATCTACAAAACAATGAACAATATACAATAATGAGCTTAGTAACATAAATGTGTTGCAGTTCATCATAAACAAATGAAAAAAAAAGTGTTGCAATTGATTTGAAATGGAGGGAGTAAAAACATTTAAGAACCGATTTAACCCAATATTTTTTGTAACAATTAAAAAGACAGACATCCAACAAATAAGCCATTACAAACAATCTATCAAACTAGCCAACATCCAATTGCCAACCAAGGCAACTGCCTCCATAACCCCCCCACCCCCCCCCCCCCCCCCCCAAAACCACCTAACCCTATTCATGTATTTCAACTATATGACCCTTTTATAATAGGCTATCGTATGCTATTAACATACCAGATTACTAGTAAACATACAAGGAAAAACAGTATGTAGCTAAACTAGGTGCAAAAACTAAATGTCATCGCTTCAAAGTCAAATTCTTGATGTCATCTAACTCCGAGGAAGTTCCGAAAACAGCATGAGAGCCATAATCTGCAAAATAGATGAATAACATCAGAGATAACATTCCAAGTTATTTTACACTATTATCGTGATGGTAAAAGAGTAAAGGAGATGCACCTTAAAATTTGGACAGTTGAGCTCCTAATCACATTTAAATCTTTGTTATACCAACTCTACAACTTGCAAATGTTACTTGATAAAAAAAAATTCCATCCTGCATGCAGAGAAGTGCAACTACATTAGATTAAGGATTAAACATACTGTAAGAAGCTCAAATTGGAATTGTTACTATATGGATAGCGTGTCAATTACCTATTGTAAAATTAACGAAGCTCATCATGGTAGTCATAGTCGTCTTCATCACTGAAAATAGTACTATAGAAAACATATGGATTGTCAATCATCTCTCCCAGTGAAAGCCGTCCGTCTTTATCTGTATCAGCCTGAGATACATAGAGCAGGGATATTAGAACTACCAAAGACAAATAGGAGGGGAGGGAAAAAAAAACAAAAGACTACTAGGCTAACATGCAGAAATCAGCAGAATACTCTCCATCCCCACTCCTTCCAAAAAGGAGAAAAAAGAGCTAAGTCATTGATGGTAGCAATACCATGATTTAAGGAAATTATAGCTAATCCAGCACAATACAAAGGAAAAGGCTCAGTCCAACATTTTTTTTGATGGCAGGGAAATAATTTCCAACTCTCAACAACTCACTGCCAACAATTTGTTCATGTAGGTTCACAACTTATTCAACAACCAACAAGTCACTCTCACCTCTTCAATCCTCTCTTCTCTTCTTTTCTATTGTGTCCCTCTGCTTATCAATTTTCTATCCTTTGTTCTCATCTTCAGTCTAAGCAAACACCTCATTTGTTAGCAATCAGTCCAACTATGTATATTTACTATTTAGGCTTAGCATTCAAAATACACTAACCCAGAAGTACACTGATACCAATGAGAAACATATAAATGTTAGAAATTTGAATTCTCGGATACTCCATGCAACAGCAACTTCCATCCATGATAATGCTCGCTAAAATCCAGTGGCCAAAGGTCAGGAAATTTCTATCCTCCCTCAAATTATTTTCCATTGTTAAAGTTTCTCTACTCTTTGTTTTACAAGTGAAACTTATTGAAAAACTGAGGATAACATAAATTACAGACAGACAAAATGGGCAGCTGGTCTTCCAAGTGAATAATCACAAGCTGAATTGACAGTGACAAAACCAGTAACCTCAAACCAATATTGGTAAACTCCTCTAAAACTTTATTATTAACTCCATCGAATCATTAGCACCAAAATCATTGCTTATCAGAATCAGTAACTCCATATATGATTGGCCAGTAGCCTCATTTGGTTATCAGCATCACATTTTATACAGAGTCAATACCCGTCAGTTTCAGTACCCCCAGATATCCATTGCCAGTAAATTCATTTAATCAGTCACAACATTAACAATAGAAAACTAGATTGTTGGGTACTTGGGTAGGACCATTGACCACAAAATTTCAGAAATATAACCAGACACTAATACCTAAATTTAAGCTTATGCACAAACAAGGAATATCAAGGCCTGTTGACCTGTGGTGGATCGTATTTTAGGTGGAAAAAAACATGTAAAATGCGAAATGTGTGGATAATTGTATGATACATGTTACTGCCACATGCCTCAACTTTAAAGAACCTTCACAACTCAAAACAAATAGTGCTTATAATAAGCTTGTTAGTGATTCCAATAGCATTAGTAAACATAATAGCTTTAATAATTACTTATATGTGGGAATTACAAACTGTAATTCTCTACTTTAATTACGTCATGCTGAGGTGGCTAGTTAGTAACTTAATATTCTTAGTACTAATTAGTTTCAATTTATTTCCAGATTTTGCTGTAACAAAGCTTTGTAAGCTCTTACTCGTATAAATAGGAATCCTCCCTCCTTTCGTTTAATGAAAATAAAAAGATAGCTCATTATGAGCTCTGCTTTTCACTCTCCTGATTATAAGAGGCTCGATACCTAAATTGATAAATTTTAAATTATTTTTACAAGGAAGTTGAAATCCTAAACCAAATACTGCATAATCGAATGGCCTTGATTTAGTCTATTGTAGTAGATGTAGCTTTTCTTACGTGGTCGAATTCTCCCTCTACCCAAAATAAGGGACGAGAAGTCTACAACAACTGAAGCTTAGAGGTATACACACTCCAATTTAGCATTACAACAGACAAAGACAGCTTTAACCATTACAGCCTTCCAAATAAGGGTTGACAGATGGGCAAGTTATAGATTAGGGCATTCTAGGTAGCTATGAATAAGCAGCATGTGAAAGAGCCAAATGAATCATCAGTTCACTCATGAGGATGTTCACAAAGCTCCCCTAACCCCTACTCATGAGGATCACTTCTAAAACGAAAGTTCCAAGAAGAGTCAAACCCATAAGAGCATGATGAGCAGTAGTTATTAAATTTACAAATTAAGAATTTAGAATCATTTAACAATGTTCCAAAAGAGTTGAACAAAGTTCAGAGTTTTTTTTTTTTTTTTTCATGAAAAGTTCAAGCATTAAACAATTCAAATTAAGTATACTAAGTCAAGAGAAAGCCTATATAAGTTGTTGAAAAACCTAAACTTTAGACCAGGGCTCCTTTTCCACACTGTAACTTAATGTTATAACATCTACATCAAATGTAAACATTAAAAATTCAGGTAATCAATCTAAGAACAGCTAAACAGAAAATAGCATCCTCCCTCTAGGAGCACCATAACTTGTAGCCATATTTCAACAAGTTCTACACAACTGAGTCTACTAATTCCTTCTACAGAACACAGTCTTTCAAAAGCCAAACATGACAACTGGAGAACTGGTGATGACTTTGCCAATTCAGCTATGCATTTAACTGAGCAAACTAGTTCTCTAATGCTTTCAGCAAAGACAATGATACCATGACACCAACCAACCACACCACAATCACAAGTCACAGGGTAATAACTCAATCCTTTGTTACCAACCTAACCCTACAGTTGCTAAGTATGATAAAGAATTGAAGCATTAGCCACTTAGCAGAAATCATAGAATCATACAAAAGTAAAAACATAGCATAATGCTCTCACAAATCAACACTATGTTCTAGCCACAAGTAGAACTTAATGCATAAGCATAACCAAGTAAAATAAAGGAATACCTGAGATATGATGTAATCTGCCTGTTGTTTGGCATAGTAGCGTTCTGAAGGATGAAGCTTATCAATTATAGGTAACAACTCTGGGTCTGACAATAACCTGTAAGCAGAAATATGTCATGTTTTACCCTAAGGAATTATTACAAGCCATAAATAGAGAGCCCTAAGAAATTTAAAAAAAAAAAATAAAAATAAAAAAAATCAGAGAGCCCAAATCAATAGGACAGTTAATTTGTAATATGTGGGAATGAAAAGAAGAAGAGTCCTGCACGAATAAAAAATCCAAAGAATTTTGAGATGTACCCATCACCATCTTTGTCAAGCTCATTAAACAATTTCCTAGCAGCAGGAGTTTCAGTAGAATCATCTAAATGATGAGTAGAATTGTGCCCATGCCCATCTTCTTCGTAGTTTCTCACCAAATCAAAAAGCCCATGGAAAAATTCGCTGAAGTTGACCTTTCCATCTTTATCTGTGTCCCTTTCCCTGCAAATTAAAAAGGACACAACAAGATCAGAAAGATCCTTGACCATCAAGCCACAAAATCATATGGCAAATCTAGAACCAGTTAAAACGTTTCTAACAATATAGACAAACACCACAACATATAAACCATCAGACAATAGTTAAGAAACACACGATAGTCTTACTAAAATTATCAAGATAGGAACATCGTTGCAGCAAAGTTCCCAGTCACATCAATGTTAATCATTTACTCAAGATATTTGAAAGAATTTCTGGTGTTCTTAACTCACAGAATTCATAATAAGAAACTAGCATGCATCAATAAAAGATTCAAAGGCAATAAAGTAAGTCACTCCAAAAGTGGCACTCAAATGAGGGGATAAAGAAAGGGAATTCTCGATATTCAAAACCTAAATCCCTTTTGGTTTTTTTAAATCATAAATATATTCTGTGCGGTTTTTGCTTTAATAACCCAAAAGTTTATCTAGAATGGATTTGAAATTGAATCATTGATTGAATTAAGAGCCTGATTGAGGAAGACCAACGTTTTGGTTGTCCTTTTAGAATGCACCCAGATTTCATAGCAGAAACCCTTCCCCCTTGTCTAAAATGAAGAGGATCATCAACATTATACCACATTACACATGACATACAGCAAAAGTGATCTTTGTAAGTTCAGCAATTCCAGCATCATAAATTGTCCAATCATTCAATTGCATTTTCTTGAAAACACGGGACAAAAAAGAATAGCTTATTTCCGAAAAGATTCACTAAACATCAACGGAATTTACTTCCAAAACTGGTATTATTGTTGCAAGGCACCCTATCAGTGAACAGTATAAACTTATGGCAACCCATTGCAGCATGGACAAACTTTAAAATACTCCGTGGAAAACATGCAAAAAGGTTCGAAGAAACTCAAAAGAACATAAAAGATAAGACAAAATTATGATAAAGAGAAAACTATTCAACATACCGTATTTCCTCTTTGCACAGCCACTGAAGTAACTTTGGGTTCTTCGTATCAGCAGGATGCAAGAAGCTATCAATTACAAAGAGAAAAGATTAGGAAATCTATGAAAAACCAGTAGCACCCAACGACACAAGTGAGAATTTTAGACAGATGTAACAATGGGAGCTTACTCCTTGAACTCTGTAATATTTAAAAGACCATCTCCATTTATGTCAGAAGCATTGAAGTGATCCTCTCTCCACCAACCCATTTCATATCCAAAGGTACTATTATCTGCAGAATTAGATGTTATTCAATAATTAAGGCAAAGTTTATAATAGATTTGGTAGCAGTTTAACACTAGCACCTGGATAAATGGCAAAATATGATACTCTGTAAAATATCAAGATTCTGAATGGAAATCAAAATGTGGATATAGAAAAGATTGAACTAAATAAACAATTGAAACTTGGTACTAACACCCTTTTCCCATTAAAATATCAACCCAGTAACTTCAAACAACAATGTGAAATGTCAATTTTGCTGGCAAGCACAACCAACATTCATGCCCCTGGGCATAAGTGGGCTTAGAATGTAAAGCACAGATATATCAATCAACTCACTCAATGGATAAGTAAAGCCCCCACGACCCTAACAAACCTTACAACTCATGACAAAACTAAGTAACTCTGAGGAATGGCCTACAACAATTGAATTTAATAGTTTATTACATACACTTGATGATCTTAGGCACACTAATAGATATTAATCAAGACTCGAGGGGAAAAAAATGAAAACATATACAGAGATTAGCGGTATTGACGACTATAAAAGGATCACAAAAAACAATATTTCTTTGCACGTCTTGTTAGAAACACCGATCAATGGGGTCCAAGAGCTATATGTATCCAGCAGTCAGAAAAGTATCAATTGCAAACAAATCTGAGATAAATCTAAGCACAATATCAACTTTTGGCTATGTTCATTAAGCAGCAATTACTTTGTTATGCAAGAAACTTGCTCAATTAGGCAATTTGATGGTATGACTATCTCATTTCATTAAGGGGTCCATTATCAATTTACCATAGGATAGCAGTGTACCAATAGGAGTCAGTGCATCAAAAACTTCAAAATGTGAGTAAAGAACATTTAACATATACAAAGCCCTCCCTCTTTTCTTTTCCCCTGAGTTAGCTCTAATTGCAAACTCTTTAAAGATATATTTCCTTGATAAACAGGGGACTTTGATTATTAAGAGATTATCCAACAACATAACTGCCAAACTCACTAAACCTAACTAGATTCAGGATTCACCAATGCCCAGCATTTAAAAATCAGATCTTTATTGGAAACAGAAATTATAACTTCCCAGTCCATCAAGTTGCAATAATATCCATCAAGAACGATGTAATTGAATCAAGAGAAACAAACCAAAATGTTCTCTGTTAACCCACCAAGACTAAAGCAAATTACTCAAGTCAAACCTTGAAAGCTGCATTATCTTAGAGACCTTGATCCCTTATTTTCAAAATCACTGAAAACTACCAAACCCTAGACCACACCATTCAAAAATTGTATCTTACTTTCCCTCTGAATTTTAATATAAAAGTGTTGCATATCTTAGACAAATTAATCACATAATTCAGCATCTTCAATATCAAACATAAGCCACCACAAACCCAAAACAAGTCATGCACTTGAAAAGACCATAATACATTCTAAAATTCTAATCAACTTCAGTAAAGCAGCCAAATGTGATCACCCCATCCCAAACACTACCACCACACACCCACGAGCCCGTTTGAACTCGTTACGAACCCCAATCATTCTTGGTTTAATTTCAACATACATTACAGATTCACAAAAACAAATTCAACATAAAATCAATCAAAAACATAAAAATTGGAAAGAAAGTAAACCTGCAGATTTAACCCAACTAGGAGGCTCATACTCAGAAAACGAAACAAACCCATCACGATTCTTATCATGTAACTCCATCTCCCTTTGAGTCCTATGATAAACCTCCGTCTCAGCCTGCCGCAAATTCCACTCAGTCAGCTCATTTTCCGAGGCAAACCCATCAATGGGGTCCACATCAATCTTTGGAAACAACACCAACAATCTACTAGTCACATTAAATCTCTCTTCATCATTCAAATACTCTTCAGCATCCATGAAATCCTCCCACTCCGGCTGTTGCTCATACCCGGGAGCGTGATGTTCTTCGACACGGCCGTGTTGATGCTCACTCTCTCTCTCCTCCCCGTGCCGGGAAAGTCCGGCGATCTCCTGGTGGTGCTCCTCGAAGTACATCCGCTCCCACTCCTTGTCCTCGCGCTGGCGCTCCATCTCCGCAACCACCGGATCGAACGCAACTGGGTCATGGTGATGGTGGCGGAACTCCAAGTGTGGGTCAGGGTGTTCAAGGTGGTCTTGCGATGTGAAGGTGAAATTTGACCGGAGTTTCAGGCGACGATGGTTGGTGCGGCGGTGATTGCGGTGGGTGTCAAGGTGGCCGTGCGAGTCGTCACGGGTTGGAGAACGGGAGAGGAAGAGGAGGAGAGAGATTCCGATGATAATGTAGAGAATTATAGATAGTTTCACCATTGTTGGAAAAGAGGAGAGAGATTGGAGTTGCCAATGTGGACTGATTCAGATAAAAATGGAGGAGAGAGAAAGAGAGGAAGAGAGGTGGTGTGATGTAACACGGGGTAGCCGTGCAGATTGTTGTTGAAGGCAAATCTTGGAGTTTGCTGGGAATTGAAGTACGTACGAGTACTAAATCTAGATTACTACTAGTATCCTGATTTTCTCCTACTAATCTTTTGACTTGCATTTTATTTAATCACAAATTTTGGTTTGTTAATTGTTTAATTAAGGTGGAACGACAATGACAAGCTTGAATTGGTTCAATTTCTTAACTCATGTCATGTTACTAGGTCATACTTGTTTAAAACGAGTTAGGGTCATTCTCGGGTTTGAGTCGGGTTCAATTCAAGTCAATAATTTGCGCATTATAATCATGTCGGGTCATGTTAGGGTTCGGGTTTCAAATATTGAGTTAATTTGAGTCTCGGATTGATTTGAGGTCGGGTCATATCGGGTTTGGGTACATTTTTTGGGTCGATTTGTTAATAGTTCATGTATTGACGTTTATGTTTAATCATTATCAATTTCTACATTTACTACATTTATATCATTTTTTAGCCTTACGAAGTTATGACTTTACAAGTAGCTTAGAATATATCTAGTATATATTCTCTAATTATTGTATATATCTTTATTTAGCTAGTTAATATCTACAATAATAAAGATATATACAATAATTAGAGAATATATACTAAATATATTCTAACAAATAGAAATGAGCAAATAGCTATAATTATTAGTCTATGTAAGGAGTCGTATGAATTGAATAATTGACTATTGAACTTATCATATTAACTCGTTTGCACAAGCACACAACTACACAAGTGACAACGTAACTATATAACTATTTATTAATAAGGTGGTCTAAGTTGAATTTAAGGAGATTTGAAATCGGGTCAGGTCAATAATAGGTTAGGTTGAGTTCGAAATGGGTCAGGAACAATTCGGGTTGAATTTGGATCAAGTCAATAACAAGTCGTGTTGATTTCGGGTCGGGTTAGTAATAGATCGGGTTAAATTTCGGGTCGGGTTAGTAACAAGTCGGGTTAAAATTCGGGTTGGGTTAGGAACAGGTTAGGTTGAATTCAGGTCGGATTAAATTTGGATTTTAACGGGTTAAAACGAGTTTGGGTCAATCTCGGTTCAGGTCGGGTTCGGTTCAGGTCAATAATTTATGGGTTATATTCAGGCTAGGTTGGGTCATCTCTAGGTCGGTTCATGTTCGGGTTAGGGTCTCAAATACTTGGGTTAACTCGGGTCTAGGGTTTGTTTCAGGTCGGATCATATTGGGTTCAGGTCGCCATTTTTTCGGGTTTAAAGGGGTCGGTTAATAATCGAACTCGGGTAAATTTTTTAGGTTGGATCAGTTTTTGACAGCTCTAATTTTAACAAGACTAAACATTCAAATAATGAAAATCATGCATGTAGAATGCCTAGAATAAGGCCGAGATAATGGTCTACTTCTTCACATCCACCGTGCAATGCACGCAGTTATTGATAGACAGAAGAATCATGGTGATAAACCACTTCGTAAACTACTTCGTACTCCGTATTATGTAGCTTCAAAAATGTCTCAACTCCCCCCTTAGTTAATGTTTGTAAATAATGATTTGTCTAAGTTTCCATATATCCATGCATGAAGTCTAGAAAATTATTATGGAATCGGTTTTAGGAGATAATAAATATTCGTGCGTGAGTGGCAGCTTGAAGAAACCTTAAGAATTAAAACAATGGTGTTTAATTTTAGTTATTTTGGTGCATAAGAAGTAAATTCTAAGGAAATATATGTGCCTATGTAAAGAGTAAAAATTGTCGTAAACAGAACTGCAGGAACAAAAACAATAAGAATAATGTCACCGGACTATGTCGCTCTCTTTAGAACATTCACGGCACTGCCTTGAATTTGTGCAAGCAGCACCGGATGTCCCCCAGGATAAAAACAGCCTCTCAAAGCTATAAAGTACCGGTGGATTTGCACGGAACCACCGGGCAACTAAACACTGAAAAATGTAATGAAACTGCTCGAATATTTTAAGAAGAAGAGAGATTAAATTAGAAGATAATTTTTTTCTGTGTTTTTAAAAAGCTTAACTCATTCTCCTTTTATAGCCCCATTTTGAAACTCACTAACAGTATAACGGCATATTAAGTGTTAATCATGCCCAAAAAATAGCCTGACCCGACCTGAAATCAACCCAGTTCGGTTCGACACGCGGGTATGTGAGATAGGTAAGTCATCACTCTCCACAAAATGTGGGTAGCCCTTGGGCCGCACCCGAGTACTCCACTCAATACATTATAAAGGAGGAAAAAACTCTCATTTCCCACTAATGTAGGACTTTGTGATTTTCACAAAATTCACACCCATACACACTTTGTTACAACAAAAATACACGAGGACAAAGCATATAACTGATATAAGAAGGCATTTTGTTGATTCCGTACAACATTAAATTAGTATATAATTAAATAGCTCATTGTCAATTCTTATTTATAGCTTTAAGCCTTTAACTCTTTAAGCTATGTCAGATATTATCTAGTGGTAGAATACTATAGTATACCAGTTGTTAAAGCTTGTGACTTTTACACAGTATCATAGGTTCGACTCAACAATAAGACCTCAATATAGGGAAAGGGATTCCACGCACAAACGCACTCTTAGGGGGTGTTTGGTATCAAATTAGTATATGTAAGGGAATGGAAACAAATTAGAAGGGGAAAGGGTAATATATAGTGTTACCCTTACTAGTTGTTTGGTATTACTAAGGAAACGTAAATAATTGTAATCAATCCCTTTCCTCTTGTTTGGCATAGATAACTTGGAAACAAATAGTTTTCCTTCTAATTTTTGATGTCTTGGCTAACTTTTGATATACATTATACAATGTAGAGCAACACTAATTACCATAATATACATATATATATTTTTTGAACCGATTACCATAATATATCATATGCTAGATATATAGGCAAAGTCACATAAGTTGTTGACTACAAAAGCATTGAAATTCTAGTATTCTCAAAAAAAAAAAAAAATAATAAAAAAAAAGCATTTAAAAACCATTAAAACATTAACTCCAATAACAACTTAGGACAAAACTTTCTACTTCTTCTTAAGAAGATCAATTGCATATTGTTTCTTCATATTAGTTGGAGCTTGATAGAAGATGCTGAGCTTCATACGTCCAATACCTTTTATTTTTACCTCTACCTCGATTGCTTGCCTCACCCTTAGCTTGACTAGCCTCCATCTGAAAAATTAAAAACAAAAAATAAAAAACCAAAAATCAATTGAAGCTACTACTGACCTAATGCTGATTTTTTTAAAATAAAGACATCATTTAACAATCACCATTGAAAATGTTAACATACAAAAACATAACACCATAAAAAAGGTAGTGGTACAGATGCAATAAAGACTGAAAGGATAACAAGCAGACTAGTAGAGGTTATGAGATGTCAAGACTTAAGAGTAAAATTATCGAGATTATGAGATTAATGAGTTTTTTTTTTCAACAATAGATTTAAAAGGTACATAAATTTAATTAGCACCCAAAGATCCATCAATTGTGTCAAAAGAGGCTGGAGTGCCTAAGATGCATCAGTATTAAAGTGCCTTAGCAAAATTTCCTAGCCTATAACCATGAAGGCAATGAAGCACACTAGTACAAATCAATGAAAACTAGAAAATATAATGTCCAAGACAAAATCCTAATAGTAAATCTAGACCAATGAAGCCTTATGTTTCAATACAAGATCAATGTACACCAAACTTTACAATCAAAACAACATAATAGGATTAACTAATCTTGAATTGAGAATGATGGGATTACAACAATACATAAAAACACACTAATAAAACATTCTTTTAAATGGTATCTTTGACCTCTATATGGAGCAAGAAAACCCTCACAATTCGTATACCCCGCATCAGCCAAATAATAATTACCTTCAAAGTTATTGAAAAAAAATAATTACTTCCAACCAAAACTAATAAAACATATACACTCACAAAAAAGGCCTTCACTTACCTCAAGGTACTCTAAAACTGTTTGGTCTAGAAAGAGCATTTCGAAGTACACGCATATCATGGGCCGAGTCTTCCCAACCAGGAAGAACATAAATAAATTGCATATTAGGTGCACAAACACCCAATACATTCATAGCAATCGTTCCTTTTCTTGTTCTATACTTTGGTCGTTCTTTTGAAGGCACATTTACATTAATGTAAGTCCCATCTAATGCCCCTAAACAATTCTACAAAAATAGGAAAAAATATTACTTACAAACAAGCAAAAATAAGAAAATCCTAGCAAAATTTAGGGGCTTTGAAAATATCAATACCTTGAAGGATTTCCACCTTTCATCTTCACAATCATCCAATATTTGTGTGGGATTGTAAAGTAGTACTTCATGCAACTTGAGAAAAGCCCTTAGACAAAGGTGAAATTGCCGGCTCACGGTTTCTCCACTTCTATAGAAGTAATGTCCAATAGACCTATTCTTCTTATGATGAGCCAACGTGTATAAAAACATGGCTACTATCTCTTGAAGCGACATGTTTTTTGTTCCACTCAAACCCCCAATGTCTCTAAGCATCTCACAAATAATATTGAAAGTTTTTCTATTAACGCGAAGCTCACTCTTTCATTTCACATCACTCTCCTATAAAGCCCTCTCAATACTAACATCCGTAACAATTTTTTGTTTCTTTTCCTATCTTTTATTTGAACCCCCCTTATTGTAACAACGCTAATTATATACCACATCCAATACATCATCAACATAATAATAACCATTGCAATTACTATTTGTATTTGTTTTAGCTTTTTCTTCCTTATAGAATGCATAAGTCGAGGCATTGTACAAGAAACACAGAAAATAAATGGCAATTGAACCTGATAAATGGCAAAACAATAGTTATATCAATATCTAGTTAATCAAATAACAAATATTGTCAACCAAATCATGAGGAGTAAACTACTCAAGAAACAAGCAAAATTAAGCAAAAAACCATGGTCTATATACTCAAAATAGTAGCAGTAACTTTCTCACTGTAATGTATACACATATGGAGCAAAATAAGACATGTATAGCACCAGAAAACCATGGTCTATATACTCAAAATAGTAGCAGCAACTTTCTCATCGTAATGCATACATATGGAGCAAAATAAGACATGTTCAGCACCACCAATAATCTATTACATTCATAACATAGATATAATTACCAAATGAAGAAATTATACAAAACTCCAATGTTTGTTAAATAATTTCAAGTGAATTGAAGCTTAAAACAATAACATTCGTAGCTGAAACTTGAAGTAATTATAATAATACAATCAAAAATCAAACAAAAACAACTTTCTAAGATTGCAATTGAACACGCAAGTTATAAATTCATACCAAAAAACGCAAAAATTGATACTACATGAACCCTAGAAATTGAACGAAAACAACTTTCTGAAGTTGCAATTGAACACGCAAGTAATAAATTCATACCAAAAACGCAAAAATTGATACTACATGAACCCTAGAAATTGAATGAGAGAAATGAAGATAGCAAACCTGTGATAATTTCTGAAGATTTGCAGAAGAAAATCGAAAATTTAGGAGTAAGATCTGGAGAATTGCATCTTCCTCGTAGAATCGTCGAAATTTTTTGGGAATTTTCAAAGAATTATCAAGCAAGTGAAGAGGAGAGACAAGAATTTTCTTTATTTTTTTGTGTTAGAGGAAGGAAAGGGGATTTGTTTCCTCACCTATTACAGGGGAAACAATTGGGTGGATTGGGTTACCCCTAACTAACGGTTTGTGTTACTTTAGTCCGTAACCAAACACAATGTAACGGAAACGCTAATATGATTCCGTTTCCATCCCTATAAAATCCCTATATCAAACACTCCCTTAGTTTCCCACTCCCAAAAGCTTTAGTCTTTAATTAACTATATAGTGAGTATCTTATTATAAAATCCTATACTATATTTGTTTCAATCCAAAAATGATTGAAATCATCCTCAACTTATTTTCGAGGTTTAGAAAAGAATAATGATATGTTTAAATGAGTACATCGATTGGTAACACAAATAGTATTGGATTTTCATAGTTGAGATGTGCAGATCACACTACATATATATAATTATAGGCTGGTGTGCATATATGAAATACTAGCTCCCTCTTAATATAATTTCCCTCGTTCCCAATAAAAGGAAAGGAGAAATATGAAACCAATTAGTACATTAATGTAATTCATTAATAATTACGCTAACAATTAGTTAGGATTATTGGTATTTGATTTTGGTTTATGAGTAGCAAGGAACAATTTGTTGATCTTGATGGTGGAGATGACCATTAGAGCAAGGATAACCATCATAGAAACAATTGATAAGGCAAGTGCTAGTGTTTGTGCTGCACCATCTTTTACCTCTTGAGCGTACTTGACGGATGCCAAAGCCAGTGTTGTCAAAGGAAGTGAAAAAGACCACCATGCTATACTAAACTTTCTTAGTGATTTCTTGAATAATGTTGGCCTACATACCTGCAACATTAGCAAACACTGGTCAATAAATCAACTACAAACACGTCTACATATACTCTTATGTACAGATCGGACTATGTAATATTGAGTCAAATCCTCAATTTCTAACATTATTTTGTTCTATAGTAATTGTACGTAAAGTTTTGCAATAAATTTGATCATATGAAGTATTTTCTTAACTATGGAGTAATGAATATTTAAAATAATTATTATTATGTAAAAGATTGTTAGATTATAGTTTCTTGCTAAACACGTGTTTTTGTCAATGAAAAAGAAATCTTATTGTTAGTGGTGGAATAATTAGGTACATAAGGTGACTCAAAGGGCAATTTTAAAGTAGATGAAAAGATAGGAAAAATAGTGCGTACTTACCAAGGACATGAAGAGAAACATGGAGAGAAAGAAGAGCATCTTTGATACAACATCAAAGGACCCGGCAATTGAGCACCATGCTATGCTAGCCATGCTTGGAGTCGCAATAAACAAGAAGAAAACCGGCCTTAGTGACGGCGAAACACCATTGCTCCCTGGATGTCTTTGATAAAGGGTGACAAACAACACCAAGTAGTGAGCCATGCTCAATGCGAAAAAGCACAACGCCATCTCTGACCATCCCATAAACATAGCTTCCTTTGCTGCTACCAAATTTGCTATGACGGATAGTTGGCAAGCCGGGTTAGCCACCTTCGTTAGAACTCGTTTTCCCTTAATAAACCATTGCCCGTATAACTTGATATCAAGCATAATTATAGGTACTACAAACATCCACCAAGTTAATTGTTGGCAAATACTACCATCAGGAACAACAAGCATAGGCGAAGTTTGAAGCAATAACAGGCTTGACATCCAAGGAGCAAACAAATAGTTTACTCCTACATGGTGCAAAAACTCGTCCTTCACCTTGTCAAAGTGATGATAACACCTTAACGTGTAGAGAATAGATAACGAGATCAAAACGAGTAAGGCCGTCAACCATAATAAATTAGTGGCCGTCGATGGGAGGGACAAGAGCATAGGGTGGAATTGACGAGCATGGTTGTCTTTTGTAATTTGGACTAGGTTTTTCCATAACAACACTTGAGCACATAAGGCAAGGCTTATTCTAAAAAAGCCTGCATGGAATTTTGCTAGTGTTTCGGATGAAAACAATCGAATCTCGGAAGATCCTTTTATCTTGAGGGAACTTGGTCTCGGTCCGAACGACGCAGGAGCCGAGGGTTTCCTGCACAACAAATACACGTAAACTAGCCTCGGGGGGGACGCCGAGGAAGGCCCCTCCGATGCTTAAGTCAGTATATTAGAGAGAGAAAGCTGTGCAAGAGTTTAGTTGCTTGAGGCTTTATTGTCTTACCAAGAATTGACCAAAATTGTTGGCTTTTATACCTTGGCTAATGAAGGAGGCGGATTGGGCCCGGAAGTCAGTTGGGCTGGGCCAAGCTGATTGGGCCGTTGACTGACCTTGACATGGCTTTGAGGATGTTTGATTTTTGACTTTAGCACATTTGGAGAGTTGAACCTTAACCTTGGGCTTTTAATTGGATCATTCAGTGACCAGGCCCAATTGGACTAAATTGGACCCAAACAACTTGCCCCCCAGACCCGATTTGGAAGGATGACGGGTCGGGTTTGATTTAATCAGAAAAGGAGGGAAGTGAATGATTTGTTAATCCAAAAATGTGAATTTAAACCGTAATTAACCCATGATTAATGAGATAACAACAGTTAATGTGGATAATTGCGGAAGTTGGACGGGTAGTGGGCGATTTAACTGCAAGGTCGTGTGTTTAACGGTTACTTAGTGGGGTGCTTGAGAGAAATTGAAACGCAGACTCCTTGAATTCCCATTTCTGGAGATATAAATAGAGGCGCGTCTTCTCTCCCCACTCATTCATCAACACAAACCCAGAATTCTCAAGAACGCTCAAGAGCCCGCATCAAAACTTCGCAAATTCCCCGAGCATTAAGCTTAGAAGCTGAGACTTGTCACTACCAATTCGTAAATCGGCGACTTTTGCTTCAGATCAAGGTAAATTCCTTTGATTTTATTTCATTTTTCTTCGACTTTGCACTCTTTCCCCTTTTTCGACTTTCTCCTTCGAAATTCGTCAATGGTGAGGGGAGTTAGAGGTGGAGCCCGTGCTCCAAGAAGAGCAAGGCTAATCCCCGATCCCAGGGACAGGATTGGGACCTGGAATGGACGAAGGACAGAGTCTGACCCTGCTGAAGGGGTTAGGGCGACTCCCATTTCTTCGGCTCCTCCTCAGAGGGCTGAGGGGGTGAGCGCTTCAGGACGGGATGATGAAGTTCCCGCTGTCCTTTGGGATATCCTCCCAGGGTTTTCAGAGTGGGAGGATGCCGAAGTAGCTTCGGCCATGATAAAGAACCGCCCCTACTCATGGTGGGTGGAGAATGCTGATCAGTACCGGTTTGCCGAGCAAATTGAGTTGCATTACGGCATCCTTGAAGCCGATGGGTATTGGTGCCGAATGCCCACGGCCTCCGATAGAATCCACCGTCCACCCCCGGGGTATGTGGGGGTGTACACAAGACAACTCCAGTACGGGCTGAGGTTCCCTTTGGACGTATTCGTCCGAGACTTGCTGATCCATTACAACATTTCCCTGTGCCAGCTGACCCCCACCAGCATCCGAAGGGTAATGACGTACTTATGGGTCTGCAAATTCTTCAGGTACGTGCCGAACCTGCATTGCTTCAAAAGGCTCCATCGGCTAGTGCCAAACATTCAAAGTGGGCACGGATGCCATGGCTCTGGGTGGTATCGGATTGAGTCTCGGCCCCCGTTCCTAACCATGTGGCCGAACGACTCTTCAGACAAGGACTGGAGAGGTCAATGGATTTGGGTTAGGGCACCCACGGAGCCGAGCCACCCTTACGTTTTCAGCGCTCCCCGGTATCTTGCCGAGCCGGATCCTGATATGGGAAGTTTAGGTCCTCCCGAAGATAGCGGGCCAGACCCGAACCTTAATCAGCAGAACATCTTCGGCAAGCTGCCGAACCGGGGAGGCAGCGGCCGAATGCAGCATATCCCGGAGACTTGGCTCCCCGATACGCACTATGTTTTCCAAGAGAATATGCTGGCAGCTGTCGGCCTCAGCCGAAAGTTTAGGGATGGTAATCTTCTTCGGCTGGGGCCGAGGCCTTTTAATTATCTCTTTTCTTCTTTCATTTTGCTTTCTTGTGATGTGCCGAACTAACTGAATTGACTTCTCCCCTTTTCTTTTTCAGAACGGGACGAGACCAACGTCGGCATTGATTACGCTCGCCTTGGCGTCAACCGAGAACGAGTCGTAACTGATCGGGCTCCCCCTATCACTGAACCAAGGCGCCGAGAGGTTCACCTAGACTCTTCCCACTTCCAAATTGAGGCTGTTGCTCTGTATCAGAGGCAGAAGCCTTGGTGGAAGAAGAGAGATCCCTTGTTTCAGCTGCTGGAAGAAGAAGCTGAAGCTGCCCGTACAGCCGAAGAGGTTGCACGGGTTATTGAAGCTTGTGAAGGTGGAGAAGGGTCCTCCAGAGTTGCTGAAGAAGCTGCGGCTAGGGCAGCTGAAGAAGACGAGGCTTTGCTGAAGACCTCGGTGAGCCTTTAGACTTAACTTTTGTCTTTCTTCTTTTTTTTTTTTTTTTTTACTCACATTCTTCCCCCTGCCTGCCCTTTACAGTCTGAAGAGAGCAGCAGACACAGGGAAGGGAAAGCCCCTGTTCGTCCCGAAGACCAAGTACAAGAAGAGTCTTCAGACTCGGGTATGGACGAGCAGCCGCTTCAGAAGAGGCGCCGAAGAATGGCCATCATCGGCCCGCATGACTTTCAGCGGAGGCCGATGACCATCGGCGTTGAAATAAGGGAACCCGAGGAAGGCAATGGATCGCCGAGGGTTCCCCGGCCACCGCCTCAATCACCCCCAAGGGCCTCTCCGCCACCCCCCGAGATGGAGGTGGATCAGAGAACTCCCAAACCTAAGGGAGAGGTTCTGGAAGAAGCTCGAGAGAGTGCCGCCGAGGACAAGGATGGAGACGCCGTGATGCCCAGTGCTGAGGGTTTCACGGCGGACATTGCCAGAGAGGTTGGGGCCTTCGTCCTCACACCTGAAGAAGAAGAGGTCACAATAATTGACTCTTCTGAGCAGGAGGAGGACGTTGAGCCACCCAAAGCTAAAGAGGCTCCATCGTCATCCTTCCCTTCCTTCCAGACGCTGCAGTCTGGAGAAATGGGTTTCTCGGCCCCCCGAATTCCAGTCCCAGACCACATCTGGGACCTCATATGGGTCAGAACCGAGAAGGTGCTGCAGCCTACTTCGGCGATTTTGCTGGCCTGTCCGAAGTAGATAGGGCAAGGATTTGGTCGCTGAAGGCCACTGCTGGGATGGGCGAATCCAGCAGATCAGTTCCTGACCCTGCCAGGTCCAACCAACTGCTGATGATGCAGGTAATTCTCCTTGCCTTGATTTCTTTCTGAACTCAACCTTTCAGCTATTATTTTTTACTTTTTTAACTTGTGCCCCTGTTTTCAGTTCGTGCACAATCAGACTCTCACTGTAGAGCTGATAGATTCCCTACAAGATAGGGTGGACGCTGCCGAGCACGATCAAAGGGTAGCCGAGGAAGAGCTAAAGCTTGCTAAGCTGAAGCAGGCAGCAGCTGAAGAGAAGCAGCAGAAGGCTGAGGAGTACGAGAAAAAGGCTGCTGAAGCCCTCCAGACCTTCTGCGACGCTATGGAGAAGGAAGTTTTTCCCCCACTGATGGAAGGGGAAAAATTCCTCTAAGAGCACCTGGGGGTGGACATCTCCAAGTTCAAGGCTGCTATCGAGAGCCGAATCCAAGAAGGAGCTGCTGCACAGGCTGAAGTGCAGCATCAGCTAGAATCTCTTGAAGCCAGCAGAATGGCTGCTGAAGAGATGCTCCAAGCTAGGGATGTCCAACTCTCAAGGGCTGCTGCTGCTGCTGAAGCTCAAAGAGCTAAGCTACAAGAGGCTGAGGATCAGCTCACTGCCAAGAAGGAAGAAATGGTCCAAGTTCAGGCCGAGGCTTCCCAGGTTCAGCAAGAGTTTACCGAGCTGAAAGGCTCCTCCTCCAAGCTCGTCGATGAGCTGAAGAGATCCGAGGAAGACTTGGAGGAGACGAAGAAGAAGTTGGCCGATGCTGAGGCTCTACTCAAAGTCCGTATCTATACCCAAGAAGAGTATGAAATGGGTTTTAGAAACGGGTTCAGAGTGTGCCGAAGGGTCTGCCTTCATGCTGAGCCGAAGCTGGACTGGTCCAAATGTGCTGAATGGGTCCAAGATCCCGAAGACCCTCACATGAAGTATGCCACTCCAATCGAAGCTGAAATCCTTAAGGCTGAGGAAGCCGAGGAAGAAGCTGAGAGGATGGAGTTGGAGGCTGAGCAGAGGGAAAGGGAGGCTCGGCAAAGTGCAAAGCCTGCTTCTTCTGCTGCTGGAGCTGAGACCACCATTGGGCCCAATGAAGCTGATCAGTCTGATCCTCAGGCTGAAGCATAGGAACTCGGGCAGTCGTCTTCAGAATCTTGCGGTTCATCATGCGCTCAACTTTAGACTTGCCGCTTTCTGAATTTTTGCCTTTTGTTTTTTTTTTGCTTCAGCTTGCCTTATCGTACAACAGCTTATTATATTTTTATTTTGCCTGTACGTATTTCGGCAGCTGTTACTTTCCGCTTGTGGGCGGCTGCCGACTATTTTTGTAATTCAACATTTTTATTTCAAAGAAGTTCACTTTCTCAGCTTTCTTGTGTATTTTTTTTTTTTCTTCGCTTTACCAGTCTTCGCACTTTACTGCTTTCTTTGAATGATCTTTCAAATATTTGCTAAGTGCAGAACTTCGGCTAGCGAGAATCATTTCTGCTGAGACTTCTTTTTGCCGTTTGTACTCGGATGTTTTCAACTTGTGAAAAAACTGACATAAGTATCAAACTTCGGCTGAGCTGAAGGGTATTAGATCAGTTGTGCCATTTCTCTATTTCCCTCTGCCCCCCAGAAATCTGAAGATGAGGTCTTCTGAATTCTGGAATGGCTGATAATTTTTCTCGGCTAAGCCGAGGATCTTTGAACACTTTGCTTTATTTTCTACATCTGTTTTTAAAGTACTGATTTCCCACCTGAGAGTTTTCACTCTAGAGATGGTACTCTTGTGACACTTTCTTCAATTCATCCAAGGGAACAACTATCCGAAACACCATGCCGGGGCAGCAGTTTATCTGAAGTACGAGGCATCATCATGCAATACTTCAGAGTTGCAACTACCACCCGGAACTGATTCATCCGAAGTACAAGGCATCACTATGCAATACTTCGGGGCTTTATCAGTTCCTATTTTTTAGGCTATGTTTCGGATAAGTCTATGGCCTTTTTGCCCAAAGGAACAGATTCTCCGAAGTACAAGGCATCACTATGCAATACTTCGGGCTTGTATCTTTTTTTGGCAGGTTTTACGGCTTGCCGAGGTACAAGGCATCATTATGCAATACCCCGGACAGCGCCGAATGAAACCTTGAATTTTTGAAAAACCGTAGAAAGCATAAAGACTTAAAGAATACACGCAATCTGAATGAATACTGGCTCGATGGCCTTTTTATAAACAAAATCAGTGTACTTACATAGATTGTACTATCCGAAGGATTTACACATAGTATTTTTTGAGCACATCGGCATTCCAATGGTTTTTCAGCTCGGTGCCATCCATTTGTTTGAGTCTGAAGGTACCGGGCTGAAGCTCTTGATAAATTTCATAAGGTCCCTCCCAAGATGCTGAGAGTTTGCCATGAATGCGACTTTTTTGAACAGCTGCAGCATTCCTCAAAACTAAATCCCCAACTCTGAGAGGTCGTTGATAGACTCTTCGGTTGTAGGACTTGCTCATTCTGAGCTTGTGTGCAGCCATCCTTTCTCGGGCTAGATCTCTAATCTCGTCAAGGAAGTCGAGGGACTCTTTCATGAGCTGCTCATTTTCCTCGGCTGAGAAGAGATTCACTCGTAGGCTTTCTGAGCCCACTTCCACTGGAAGCACTGCTTCGGATCCATACACCAGCTGAAAAGGTGAATGCCCCGTTGCCTCCTTCTCGGTTGTCCGGAGTGACCAGAGGGTTCCCGGAAGTTCCTCTACCCACTTGGGACTTTTGATCCTCTACTCTTTTTCTGAGAGCGTTAAGGATCTGTTTATTTGCGGCTTCGGCTTGGCCATTACTCTGAGGGTGGCAAACCGCGGAGTAAGCCAATTTTATCCCGAATTGATCAGTGTATCGGCGCAAGGGCAGGTTGTCAAACTGTCTGCCGTGGTCGAACACAAAAACTTTTGGGATGCCGAACCGAGTTATTATGTTCTGCCAGATGAACTGTCTGACAGTTTGCTCAGATATGCCTGAAGCAGCTTCCGCTTCAATCCATTTGCTGAAATAGTCGATTCCGACTATCAGCCACTTTCTTTTGTATGGGGCCTCGGGAAAGGGTCCCAGAATATCCAACCCCCATTGTGCAAATGGAAGAGGATTAAGAATTGGCTGGAGATCTAGGCATGGCCGATGGATTACCGGTGCAAATTTTTTGGCATTTCTCGCATTTTCTGACCATGTTCTTTGCATCCGAGATCATTGTAGGCCAAAAATACCCTGCCCTGAGAGCTTTGTGGGCTAAGGTTCTCCCTCCTATGTGGTTTCCGCAGATGCCGAGGTGAATCTCTCGGAGAATATAGTCGGCATCCGTTGGACCCACGCATTTCAATAATGGAGCGGAGAAGGATTTTCTGAGGAGTTGGCCGCCGAAGACGAGGAATCGTGAACTGATCCGCTTTATCTTGGAGGCCGAATTCCTATCCTCGGGGAGCTCGTCCCTGAGTTTATAAGCCAGGATGTCATCCATCCAGCTCGGCTCGAGTGCAGCGCAGCAGATTGATATTGCTTCGGCTACACTCTTTTCTCGGCGCACCTCCACATAGACAGAACGGCTTAACTCAGTCAGAGTTGAGCTTGCAAGTTTGGAGAGTGCGTCCGCTTGAGCATTTTGACCCCTTGGGATCAGCTCTACTTCGAAAGATCTCAGCTTCGCAATTGTCGATTTGATCCTTGTGAGGTAAGCTGCCATTGAAGGCTCTTTAGCCTCATACTCCCCCCGGATCTGATTGGCGACCAGCTGAGAATCTGTCTTGAGGTAGACATGCTCGGCTTCCAACGATATGCACAGGTCTAAGCCAGCAATGGCTGCTTCGTATTCGGCCTCGTTGTTAGAGGCTTTGAATGAAAATTTTAGTGCATACTCGAAGGTTTTGCCTTCGGGAGAGGTGATGACGACCCCTGCCCCCGAACCGTTCACGGTGGAGGACCCATCCGTGAAGACGGTCCAGATTTTCCTCCTTGCATCCAGAGTCTCCTGATAGGAGCACTCGGCCAAGAAGTCTGCCAAGGCTTGCGCCTTGATGGCTGTTCTCGGCTGATAACCGATACTGAACTCGGTGAGCTCGAAAGCCCACTTTGCTAGTCTACCGGATTTTTCAACCTTGCCGAGGACTTTCTCTAACGGCTGATCAGTTAGAACCGCTATTTGATGAGAATCAAAATAGGGTCGCAACTTCCGAGCAGCCACCACCGCTGCATAAGCCACTTTTTCTAACAATGGGTAGCGCGTCTCGGCATCCGTCAGGGTGTGGCTGACGAAATAGATCGGCTGTTGAACTTTTTTCTTCTTCCCTTAGCAGCACCGCGCTTACCGTGGCTGGACTGACCGCCACGTATAAGTATAGGATGTCTCCTACGACTGGCCTTGCCAGTGTTGGGAGTTGAGCCAGGTGTTCACGGAGCTGCTGAAAGGCTGACTTTTGTTCGTCTCCCCATTCAATGCCTTTTGAATTTTGGAGCTTCAGCGCCTTGAAGAAAGGGAGCCCTTTGTCTGAGGCTCGTGAGATGAACCTGGACAAGGCAGCCATTCTCCCGGCTAGACGCTGAATATCCCTTTTTGTCTTCGGCTCGGGGAGGTCTAAAGCAGCTTGTACTTTGGCGGGGTTTGCATCAATCCCCCTCTTGCTGACCATGAAGCCGAGGAACTTGCCTGACTTCACGCCGAAGACACATTTCTTCGGATTCAGCTTCATTTTTGTATTTTCTGAGGGGTGGCGAAGGTTTCGGCTAGGTCCGTGACATGATCTTTTTCTTTTATGCTTTTGACGATTGAGTCGTCAACATAAACCTCCATGTTTCGGCCTTTTTGCTCGGCGAAAAACCTGATCAACCAACCTCTGATATGTTGCCCCCGCATTTTTCAATCCGAAGGGCATCATTCTGTAATTGTACAACCCGGAACTTGTTATGAACGCTGTTTTAGCTCGGTCCTCGGGGTGCATGAAGATCTGATGGTATCCCGGAGAATGCGTCCATGAAACTGAGCAGAGCATGCCCGCTTGTCGAGTCGACCAGTTGGTCGATCCTCGGCAGCGGATAGGAGTCCTTGGGACATGCCCTATTCAGGTCCGTGAAGTCAACGCACATCCTCCAGTTACCATTTGCCTTCTGAACCATTACAACATTTGGCCAGCCACTCCGGATACTGACAGGGTTCAATGAACCCAGCATCTAGGAGCTTATCGACCTCAGCTGCGATGTTCTGGTTCTTTTCGGCGGAGTAGTTCGCTTTTTTCTGCTTAATGGGTCGACTGGAGGGGTCGACATTAAGCCTATGGGAGACGAAGTCCGGATCAATCCCGGGCATTTCTGCGGCTGAGAAGGCGAACACGTCTCCACTGGCCCGTAGGAGTTGGACGAGTGCCGCACGGGTGTTTGGCTCCAGTGACGACCCGATGCTAACACATCTGTTCGGATCTCCTACGGTCAGTTCTATTGACTCGGTCAGGTCATCCGTCTCCATGCTCTTAGAGTTGGATTCCTCGAATTCCGGCCTGCTATCAATATTAGCAGACTTTCCTGACCGCGGCTGGCCATCAGAGTCGTTCGGCTCTGAGGCGGAGTCAGCCTTTTGGCCCCCATCAGATTTCTCGAGTAGCAGTAACTTTCTCACTGTAATGTATACACATATGGAGCAAAATAAGACATGTATAGCACCAGAAAACCATGGTCTATATACTCAAAATAGTAGCAGCAACTTTCTCATCGTAATGCATACATATGGAGCAAAATAAGACATGTTCAGCACCACCAATAATCTATTACATTCATAACATAGATATAATTACCAAATGAAGAAATTATACAAAACTCCAATGTTTGTTAAATAATTTCAAGTGAATTGAAGCTTAAAACAATAACATTCGTAGCTGAAACTTGAAGTAATTATAATAATACAATCAAAAATCAAACAAAAACAACTTTCTAAGATTGCAATTGAACACGCAAGTTATAAATTCATACCAAAAAACGCAAAAATTGATACTACATGAACCCTAGAAATTGAACGAAAACAACTTTCTGAAGTTGCAATTGAACACGCAAGTAATAAATTCATACCAAAAACGCAAAAATTGATACTACATGAACCCTAGAAATTGAATGAGAGAAATGAAGATAGCAAACCTGTGATAATTTCTGAAGATTTGCAGAAGAAAATCGAAAATTTAGGAGTAAGATCTGGAGAATTGCATCTTCCTCGTAGAATCGTCGAAATTTTTTGGGAATTTTCAAAGAATTATCAAGCAAGTGAAGAGGAGAGACAAGAATTTTCTTTATTTTTTGTGTTAGAGGAAGGAAAGGGGATTTGTTTCCTCACCTATTACAGGGGAAACAATTGGGTGGATTGGGTTACCCCTAACTAACGGTTTGTGTTACTTTAGTCCGTAACCAAACACAATGTAACGGAAACGCTAATATGATTCCGTTTCCATCCCTATAAAATCCCTATATCAAACACTCCCTTAGTTTCCCACTCCCAAAAGCTTTAGTCTTTAATTAACTATATAGTGAGTATCTTATTATAAAATCCTATACTATATTTGTTTCAATCCAAAAATGATTGAAATCATCCTCAACTTATTTTCGAGGTTTAGAAAAGAATAATGATATGTTTAAATGAGTACATCGATTGGTAACACAAATAGTATTGGATTTTCATAGTTGAGATGTGCAGATCACACTACATATATATAATTATAGGCTGGTGTGCATATATGAAATACTAGCTCCCTCTTAATATAATTTCCCTCGTTCCCAATAAAAGGAAAGGAGAAATATGAAACCAATTAGTACATTAATGTAATTCATTAATAATTACGCTAACAATTAGTTAGGATTATTGGTATTTGATTTTGGTTTATGAGTAGCAAGGAACAATTTGTTGATCTTGATGGTGGAGATGACCATTAGAGCAAGGATAACCATCATAGAAACAATTGATAAGGCAAGTGCTAGTGTTTGTGCTGCACCATCTTTTACCTCTTGAGCGTACTTGACGGATGCCAAAGCCAGTGTTGTCAAAGGAAGTGAAAAAGACCACCATGCTATACTAAACTTTCTTAGTGATTTCTTGAATAATGTTGGCCTACATACCTGCAACATTAGCAAACACTGGTCAATAAATCAACTACAAACACGTCTACATATACTCTTATGTACAGATCGGACTATGTAATATTGAGTCAAATCCTCAATTTCTAACATTATTTTGTTCTATAGTAATTGTACGTAAAGTTTTGCAATAAATTTGATCATATGAAGTATTTTCTTAACTATGGAGTAATGAATATTTAAAATAATTATTATTATGTAAAAGATTGTTAGATTATAGTTTCTTGCTAAACACGTGTTTTTTGTCAATGAAAAAGAAATCTTATTGTTAGTGGTGGAATAATTAGGTACATAAGGTGACTCAAAGGGCAATTTTAAAGTAGATGAAAAGATAGGAAAAATAGTGCGTACTTACCAAGGACATGAAGAGAAACATGGAGAGAAAGAAGAGCATCTTTGATACAACATCAAAGGACCCGGCAATTGAGCACCATGCTATGCTAGCCATGCTTGGAGTCGCAATAAACAAGAAGAAAACCGGCCTTAGTGACGGCGAAACACCATTGCTCCCTGGATGTCTTTGATAAAGGGTGACAAACAACACCAAGTAGTGAGCCATGCTCAATGCGAAAAAGCACAACGCCATCTCTGACCATCCCATAAACATAGCTTCCTTTGCTGCTACCAAATTTGCTATGACGGATAGTTGGCAAGCCGGGTTAGCCACCTTCGTTAGAACTCGTTTTCCCTTAATAAACCATTGCCCGTATAACTTGATATCAAGCATAATTATAGGTACTACAAACATCCACCAAGTTAATTGTTGGCAAATACTACCATCAGGAACAACAAGCATAGGCGAAGTTTGAAGCAATAACAGGCTTGACATCCAAGGAGCAAACAAATAGTTTACTCCTACATGGTGCAAAAACTCGTCCTTCACCTTGTCAAAGTGATGATAACACCTTAACGTGTAGAGAATAGATAACGAGATCAAAACGAGTAAGGCCGTCAACCATAATAAATTAGTGGCCGTCGATGGGAGGGACAAGAGCATAGGGTGGAATTGACGAGCATGGTTGTCTTTTGTAATTTGGACTAGGTTTTTCCATAACAACACTTGAGCACATAAGGCAAGGCTTATTCTAAAAAAGCCTGCATGGAATTTTGCTAGTATGGAAGACACAAAATGATCGTAAAAACCTACAACAACCATCTTATGGTTGTTATTAAAACTCATTGGTGTATCGCCGATTACAACCTCTATGCCTGGTTTATTAACACCTAATTTTGAATCCATTTTTTTTTTTTCTATATAGTATATATAAATGTATGTATGTATAGATGTATGGAGGGATTATTGGATGAAAGGATCGATCAAGCAAGCTTGCTTAATAAGTAATTAAAGAAGAAAAATTTATTAGTAATGATGATTATGTATATGGTGTAGATAGGGAAGTGTTTAGGATATGCAAGTTTAGGAAACTACATACATGTGGTGATTCTTATATAGAAGTGCAAGATCACGTACAGCTATCTAAAAGTGCAGGGTACAATGTTGCTCGACAACTATGAGCACCCACATTGGTGGCTAGCTCACCATTTTCTCTTTTTTACTTTTTTACTCCACGTCATTTTTCACTATTATGAGTTACCATTGTAAGTCACTCTTTTAATTTTTTCTACAATGGTGAGTTACCCCACATTATCTTTCCTACTTTTATCGATACCCCACCAATTATTATTATTATTATTATTATTATTATTATTATAGTGATTTAATGTTAACAAATTCAATTCTTTTAATTATTAAAGTAGTCACTACTTAATTTAATAATATAATTAATGTCTACAATAATAATTAATTAATGACCTTATGTTTTAATTATTATTAATTAGTCTTGTTGAGCATGATTAGTTTCAAAATTATTAAACATACATTAAATTATTATATAAATTAAAACAACAATGTTACAATCAAATTATTGGATTAATAATAAAAACATAACAACGGAAATATCCTAAACAATAAAAAGCTTTCTGCGACTACTAGTTACCATCATTATTCATTACCAAAGTGACGCCATATATGTTCCAGCAAGTCTTTCTTCAATGACATATGAGTCTCTCTATTTCATACATTATTTCTATTTGACATATAACCCGCTAAACTTAGTTTGTCTAATCTTCCACGTCTCACTATGAATGGTTCGTTGTCACCTTAATTTGATGATTCGCCAACATTATTTTGAGGTTGGTCAGAGATAAATTCAAATGTATCGTAATGCAAATAACTTTCTCGTTCATCTTCAACAATCATATAATGCATGATAATACATGCCATAATAATTTTCCAAAAGATTTATGTTGACCATCCATGCGAGAGCTGGTTGGCGTATTATAGCGAATCGATCGAGCTTGTGACGCTCCAAAGGCACGTTCAACATCTTTGTGATAACTTTCTTGCTTTTGTGTAAATAATCTTTGTTTAGCGGTTTGTGGAAGCTTGATTGCTGGGATAAATGCTGCCCATTTTGGATATATACCATCTGTAAGATAGTATCCCATATGATATGTATTGCCGTTAACATTGAAACTAACCTGTGGGGCTCGACCTTCACAAATATCATCAAACATGATATGGGCGACCGTTGAAGGACATTTATATCATTGAGGGAGCCTAGTATGCCAAAAAAAAGCATGTCATATATATCCACAAGTCTTGTGACGCAACTGCTTCTAAAATGATGGTTGTTGTTTTACTTATTCCTTGGTACATTTTTTTCCAAGCACGTAGACAATTTTTCCACTCCGAATGCATACAATCAATGCTCCCCAACATAACAGGAAATCCACGAACATTTCTTTCACGAAGAAGTCGTTCTACATTTGTGGGTGTCGCCCTCCTCAAATATTCTTGTTCAAAATTTGAGATAACCCCTTCGACAAAGTGTCCAAGACACTCACTAGCTGTACTTTTTGCAATTTTGAGGTATTCGTCAACTGCATCAACTGCGCTGCTGAACCATAAGCCAACATCCTCATAGCTGCAGTGCATTTTTGTAATGCAGATGCACCGAGTCTTCTTGTAGCGTCAGGCCTTTGTTGAAAGTATACATCACTTTCACTTAGTTTTGTAACAATGCGCTGGAAAATATGTTTACGCATGTGAATTCTTCGACGAAACATAGTGTCATTGTAAAGTGGTTGTGGACTAAAGTAGTCGTTTTATAGCCTTGAGTCAACATCTGATCTTCACGGTCTCTTGGTACATACTCCCTTTTTTTCTTCACAACATGAGTGGATGGGACTTGAAAAGATGAGGTCACAAGAGGGACAACAGTGGAATTGATTGCTTCCTCAATCAATTCATCTTCTTTACGTCGCTGAGTAATTGATTCGTTCCACTCAACATAATCGTTCACCATATATTCAAAAACTCTTGAACTTGATGAATTTGAATCAAAGTCCATTTTTGAAAATTAAAAAAAAAATGGAAAGTAGAATGTAGTGTTTAGACTTAGGTTTTTATTTTGTTAACAAAAGGTATTTTTATTTGCGTGTATTAACTACAAAGGTAAACTACTATATATAGAAATTCATAAGGTATATGGGCACACAATTCAAGAAGATGAGATTTCTGATGAGATATCTAAATTTCCATCCAATAACAATTAAAGTTAATGCACACAACTCTAGACGATCAGATTTTGGATAAAGGATTAGATTTCTATCCAATTACGATTCATTGTATGGGCACACGGTAATCTAGTAGATAATATTATTGATAATGTTCTCAGATTGCCATCCAATTACAACATAATGTCTGACATCCCATTCTAGAAGATGAAAGAATTACAACATTAAAGGATATAACAATAACTAATTAAAACACTCCTTAAATAAATAATAAAAGCATTACAACATTAAAGAATATAACCATAACATTACAAATTAATAACCTAAACATCATAACTTAAGACAAACTACAAATTTAAGCTTAAATTAACTTAAAAGCCGCTCAAACTAACCTAAGAGATGGCTAATTTCCACTTTTAGTTTCTGAAGAAGTTTTTCATCATCTTCGGTGTGGTGTGATTTTGCAAGTAGAACACTGAATAATTTGAACCTCTTCTTCTCCGCTTTTCTCTGTCTCTTCATGATATATCGCTCCTTTTGATAATCCAACATTTGTTTTGCTACATCTGCTCGCTTCTCATCGTCAACATTTAAGTATTGCCCTTTCATCATATTCATCTCTGATAGGGCTTGGGTGAATGAATCTAAACTATTTTCCAGAACTAGTAACTGATTTACCTTTTCTTTTAGCCACTTTCACCCCATCGGGTCGTCCACGCCTTCCGTCATCCGTAGGAGATCTTTTGGAGTTATCACTTTCACCGGTTTCCGACGCTTGCTTGTTTGTTGGCCTCCATTTATCACAATTACGCAGCTCTTCCCATACACTGAGTAAAGTGAATCGTGCTCCATTTTGTGTTGCTCTATACATTTCTTGAGCATCAGTCATGACATTGTGGTTGTTGGTACCACTCTCATTTCTACATTGTGCTGCTGCGTAGCAACCAACCCACTTATTTAATTCTTTATTAATTCTACCCCATCAACCTTTCCTAGCCCTCAAAATTCTACGTTGGATGATAGAAGACTTTTCTACCCTAGCTAGCTCATACAAATCATATATACCTTTCCATATATCCCTCAAAGTCTGATCTGTCGCCTTCTCTGGATCATCAAGCGCACAATGAATCCAAGCGGATACAAGTGCATCGTCTTCTTGTGCTCCCCACTTACTACTGGAATGTTGTTGCTCTCTTTTGGATCTACCACGTCAACCTTTTCATCATCATTGTCATCATCAGTAGCATTAATTTCGAGAGGAGTTTTGTTACTACTTCCATCACCCCCGGGAGTTGCTGGATTATTATCTAGTTGGTTACCAAAATGTTGAAACATTGGAAACGTTGCACTAGATGAATAATTCTGGGGAAATTGATGCATAAATTGTTGTTGAAATGATTTGGAAATTGTTTTGGGAACTTGTTAGAAAATTGTTGATTTGGAGGTATTATTGGCCGATTAGGAATGTTATAATATAACATTCTTTGAACATTTGGATTAGAAAGGGTATTTGGGTCAAATTGAAAATTAGCTTGAAATTTTGGAGAATTGGAATTCATTTGGTAATTTGGATTGTTTGGGGAGTAGAAATTATTTCCCTAATTTGGATTATTAGGATCCATAAGTAGGGTTAATATTTTTTGGATTTAGACAATGTGAAAATTGAATGTTGTGGGTTAATAGAGAGAGGGTAAAAATTTAGTTGTGAAAAAATATGTCAATATTGGACTCTATTTATAGATAAAATTATGACAATCTCAACGGTAATTTTTTTTTTTTGAAAAGCAATGTAGAATTTTTTTATTACCGTTATAAGATATTTAACACTTATAAAACTATAAAAGTTATTGGCAAATGTTCATGGAAATAGCTAACGGCTACAAAATTCAAATGGTAACCAAGTGTCTGTTGTGGTACTGACGTAACATCAGAAATCAGGTACTTTCTTGCAAAATTGACGTCGATTTACACAATTAGAGGCAAAAATAAAATTAAAATAATGAACTTGATGCGCACAGTCCAAGGATGTTAGTTACCTGGAAGAGAGAAGTGCCTAATGGGGTGAGTAACTCAGAAGTCACCATTTACAATGGTGAGCTAACCCCAAAATATGAGAGAGAGTGGTGTGGGGAGGTTAGTGAGTTACCCATTGTAGATGCTCTAAGGTCCACTACCAAAAAGTCGAATTCAAGACTTTAACCTGAAATAGTAAAATGTAAATTGATTTCCTAAATTTCAATTATAAAATTGTATGCACCGTCAATAATCGTATCACTATATTTACAAAATAGTATCAGAATGTAAAATTTAATTGGGCAATGAGACATGAAAAGTAGTATTATTATACTTCCTCTGTTTTTTGTTGACACATTTCTATTATCACGGTTGCCAACGCATGTTTTTAACGATTAATACCTAAAAAATGCCTTAATTTTTACTTACTATGGTATATATTAATTAATTTGAAATTTAAAGCATGCATTGTGTGCATATAAATTAGTAGTGTAATGGTGAGGCAAGTGGGTATACAAAAAGTAAATTATACGAAGTAATGAGTATAATTGCATTGTTAACCTGCGGATAATGATACAAACCTACCAATTGGTTGTTGCTGCAGTGATGATTGAGACCGCATGTACTTGGTAGAGAGGAGCGTGTGTTTGATTCCCCGCAACAACAATTAATAGAGGATTTGAACCTAACCACTCAGAACTAAGGTCCCGAATTCGGATTAGTCCAAAGAGTGAAGTGGGTGGAAAACACCAAAACAAATAATGATAGAAACTTTATCTTGCTCCTAGCTTAGATATACTTAGAGCTTGGTGTATCCAAGGGTATTTTTATTTTATATTATTTTATTGTTACTAAATTTTATATTGTAACCAATTTCAATGCTAATTCAAATATAATT